GTGTTATATTTCAATTTCACAAAGAAACGTGCAGCATTTTGTCCAAGCAATAATAAAAGGACACATTTAATTTATCATTTGTCTTAAATCTCATTTTGTTAAAAAGAAATCGTGAATCGAATCATGAAATCAGAATCGTGAATCGAATCGTGAGTTGAGCGAATCGTTACATCCCTATAAAACACTAAATATAAAAAACACAAAAAAGTCTGCACATTGATGCTCCAAAGCGACTTTATCAGCATTTGTGGAATATTATTTTTTTGTGATTTGTGACAAGACATTTTGCTTAAAGGAAATGAAGGATCTTTTTTTTCTTCTTTCTTTGCATTGTCATTATTTTCATTTTCATTATTTAATTACCAAAAAAAAAAAAAACATCTTATTGTTGCCAACAATATGTAAAGTGTTTTTTTTTTTGTTTTTTTTTTTACGTCATGGTAGTATTTGTTGTACTGCCTGTAAAAGAAAGTAAAATATAAGGGGGCATTATGAGAATTGTGGATGAATTTATGCTTGCCTTACCTCAAACACAAGCAAAATGCCTGAAAGAGGAAAAAAATAATTATTTTTTTCTTGTCGATGGTTTAATCTGGCTCAGTGAGGCGGAGATCTTTTGTCAGTGAGCAGATATTATTATAGAGATCAATTCCAGAGTGTTCAATACTGTCTTGTGATCTTTTAGCTGACATTTCTCCTCACTGCATCCTCTCAGTCAGCACAGTCACACATATGCACATCCCTCACCTATATTTGGCTGGTTATTATTTCGAATAGCGAACAAAAAACATTAATGTGCAGTAATGACACTATGACTGATTGCAGACAGTTATTACTGCAGTGTTCAAAGGCTTTTGTCTGTGGAATTGAAATACTCCATTCGCTGCTGCCTTGAACAATAATCCTCTTCTTTTTTTTTTCTCTCCATTTTCATTTCAGGAGACAAACCTCATTAATGTCTGTGTGACTTTAGCTGTCTCTATAGCCTTGAGCTCCAGACGTTTGAAAGCGTGTTGAACTCTTGTCCGTTCTCCGGGTTGATTAAATGTCCGTGGAGTTATAGTGACAAATAGCAGCACTTCTTGTTTTCGAAGTCAAGCTGTCCCTGTGACTGACTGAAGCGGTCAAATAGCCACACATTGCTTCTTTCATCTTACTTTTTTCGCTTTTGTTTTGAATCCATTTACTGAGAAATGAAACAGTTGTTTGTCTAGAAACGTGAGTGGTTTTGTCTGTGGATTACTGGCTTATGTTCAGTTTGAACAGGGAAGTCCTCTTGCCCTCCTGTTGACTGTTACTTCACTTGGTGTAGTTATTGTTTTTAAAACCAAATCAGGTTTAAAATAGCAGAAAGCCTCCTGGAAGCCCTGAAATAAATAAACTGAAATGTCACTGCCCCACCTGTGAGGCTCAGAGCAGTGAGCATGTGCTGGAAGATTGTGATTGCTATCTCAGGATGTGTGTTTGGTGTACTTCCCTTCTCTCTGTAAGCGGATAGATGAACTTTATCTCACTGCATGTTATTATTTTTTTAACAGAAAACGAGTAGACATTTCTGGTGGAGTTTGCATTACTCAGAACTTTTGAATAGTAGTGTGTCTTGATTTACACAAAAATATGAAGCAGCACAACTGTTTTCAACATTGGTCATTATCAGAAATGTTTCTTCAGCAGCAAATCAGCATATTAGAATAATTTCTGAAGGATTGTATGATACTGAAGACCGGGGTAATGATGCTGAAAATTCAGCTTTGATCACAGGAATAAATGACATTTTACAATATATTCACATATAAAACGGTTATTTTACTTTGTAAAAAAATATTTCAAAATATTACTGTTCTTACTGTTTTTGATCAAATAAATGCAGCCTTGGTGAGCAGAAGAAAAACACATTTAAAATGATTCCAAACTTCTGACTGTATATGGGCTTATGGTTGAGACATGATATAATTTAATGGTCTTTATGTGGACTTGTAATAAGCTATGTGTTGTGAATGTTACTCAAATAAAATATCAGTAACATCTCTCTTAATGGTAATATTTATGGTGACCCTGAAATGCAAATGAAATTCAGAAAATGCAAAATAATCTACTGCTCAAAATGTGTAATGGTTTAAATATAACATTATACTGAAGATTGTGCAATGTTTCTTTCTTTCATCTAGCATCTGTCACTTGGTATCACTGGAACTCCGAGAGAACTTGCTGACATATTTACCAGAGTAAGTGTACGCCTCCTAACGCTGTGTATGTGTGTGCATAAGGCAAAAGCAAATTCATATTTATTCCATTTTGTTTCTCTCAGGTCTCTGTCTCAGCTTCAGAAACTTGAAGAACTGGATGTTGGAAGCAATGAACTGTATAATTTGGTAAGTGTTGTGATTTTCATGACTAGCTCTAAATGGACTAATTACAATAATAATGACTTTGACTGCACAAGGCTTGGTATATGTCAGCTGTCACGCCATCTCTGGAACCTTATCTGAGTATTGGGCTGAATATGAAGAAGGCATTTCCACTTCACATTTCATCCCAAATTCAATAGAGAGTTTATTTTGCATAAAGACATGAAATGTGTGAGTAAATTCGGAGTAGGGATGTCACAATGTTAGTTTTGACTATGCGGTTATTGCCTGATAAAACAATCACAATTTCTAAGATTATTATAGATTTACCTTTCATGCAACAAATAAAACCCCCACAAACATTTAGCAACTTTATATTAATGGTTTTATTGCATCATTTGTTAGGACATACATACATATTAACAGACATATTCCTACTTTTCACAGAAAACCAACAGGTAAAGTATACTCTGAAACCAAAACATACCAAAATGAACCTTTAAAACAACAAAAAAGTATATATACCCTTTCAATGTATATGTATTACCTTCATACCTTCTACCTTATATTACCTTCATCTGGGCATGAATCAGATGGTGATCCCTCAGGTGCTGAAACATCAGATGTGTTTGCTGATGCTTTTCGTTTGGATGTTTTGCATATTGGGAACCCGCCTTCAACTACTGAATCATTTTTTTTAGTTAGCCAAAATGCTCCTAAATAGCTTAATTAAAACACTTTTTCGGCAGATACAAGTCCAGGAAATTGTGTTGATCCTCCATGTTTTCATTTTGAGAGAATACTCTAAAAGTTCACGCTCTGTGCGCGCACCACAGCCTTACAAACCATCCGAGCAGACGGCAGAGCACAGGTGTCGTGCAAGTAGTTCATCTCAGTCTGATAGACTTCTTTTCAGTGCATTTTTAAAAATAGATTTTCCATTTTTTTCCAGATTTTCCGTAGCTCCCAATTTCGTACACTTTAATAACCATGACTATTTTAATCGTGGTTAATTGTGAAATTGGGTGATCACGACATCTCTAATTTGGAGTAATCAGTGCGTAAAATGGCCCTTCCTGAAAACACTCTTCTGGATTCACAATTGCATCGTAAACCTCAGATTTGATAATCAACAAATCTTTCACAATTAGCATAATCCCGCCAATGAACAACTACGAGAATGACATTTACAGGCATGTTGTGGGATCTTTGGACTCCCTTCTCAAGTTTCACTCTAGTATATGGCATAAATGCAAAAGACTAATTGCCATATGACATGTAATTCACTCCTAGTTTTAAGCTTGCAGACAAATACTACTGGGGCTCAGAATAATAGTCATCTCTGTTAAAGGGGTCATATGATGCAATTTCAAGTTTTCCTTTCTCTTTGGAGTGTTACAAGCTGTTCATGAATAGATAAGATCCCTAAAGTTGCAAAGACTAAAGTCTCAAACCCAAAGAGATATTCTTTATAAAAGTTAAGACTGGTCCACGCCCTCCTAAAACGCCTCGTTTAAACACGCCCCCACATGTCTACGTCACTGTGTGGGAAGATTTGCATAACACCGCCCAAATGTTCACGCAAAGAAAGAAGGCGTAACTTTGATTCTCGCTGCAGTATTGTTGCCACCGCCGCCATGTCGTGGAGACGCTGTGTGTTTTGTGGAAAATAATGTTTTTTTAACCTTAAACCACATAAACCTTTTTTTAGCAACGTCATATGGCCCCTTTAAAAAGGAAAACGGACTACGGATGGCTGTTTTCAATCTTTTTTTTTTCGGATTAATTTGTTTTTATTATATGAAATTCCTACATGCAATTTCAGAAGGAGTGAGCCCATCTAATCTTTCAGTTCACTGCCGGAGCATATGAGCAGTGCTAAAGCTGTTTCACCCTCCCTCCATCTCCTCAACTCCACCAATGTAATTTAGCATAATTTAAGCCATCCATTGTCTTCCAAGCACCGGTAGTCCCCAGTGAGTATACAGGAGCTCGAGTTGAAGCCGCATCCTCAAGCCTCTCTACAAGCCAAATAATGTTTTACGTGTGTTTGGGAGCAGGTTTAAAGTTTCGCAAGGTCCGCACCATTTAACACTACAAATATTAAGAAAATGTCTTTCTTCTGTGGAACATAAAATAAGTTATTTTGAAGAATGTTGGTAACCAAACAGTTGATGGACCTCGATGACTTCCATAGAATGGAATAAAATACCGTGGAAGTCAATGAGGAGCATCGACTGTTTGGTTACTGGAATATCTTCGTTTGTGTTCAGCAGAAGAATGAAACTCATACAGGTTTGGAACAAGCAAATGATGACAGAATTTAGATTTTTGAATGAAAATCTTTTAATGTTCCTAAAAATATGTTTTCTTTATGCAAAATAAAATTAGTTTTCTTTGTTTTAATTTTGGGGTGATACGTGTTTTCGGCAGGTCTCTTGAGATTCACACATTGAACTGTTTGTCCAAGTTTAAAACCCTTGTTTCCATGAATGTGACCCCTTGTAATAAGAGGCTGGACTACGTCGGAATGCCATTTCACGAATGTTTCGCATTGGCCTGCATTCTTGTGCACGTTGGTAACAGTCACCTGCTGTGTTCTCGCTGCTCTGTCTGAACTCTGTCAAACTTGTTTTCTTGCAGCCTGAGACAATAGGCTGTCTTGTCAGTCTAAAAGACCTGTGGCTGGATGGAAACCAGCTGTCTGAAATACCACCGGTAAAGTATTTCTGACATGTCCTGTTGATGTCAAAAACTGTCAGTCTATCGGACTGTCGGATCTGTAAGGACACTTGTTCTCCTGCATAGTTTTTTTAAACATGTATTACTTCATCAGACATGTATTCTGCTCCTTTATATTAATTTACACTTGATTTGAACGTAATGTTTATTATTGTTTTTTATTAATCAAGCACAAGCTACTCGACTTCCTCAATATCCTAGAGGCTTTTTTGTGTGGTTGTGGTTGCATTCATGTTTACATTTGTGTGTGTGTGTTGGTGCGCACATGTGCTTTCTCTGCCTCAGGAACTGGGGAGTATGAGAAGCCTTACGTGTCTGGATGTATCCGAGAACAAGTTAGAGCACCTGCCAGAGGAGATGGGGAACCTCCTCTCCCTCACTGACCTCCTGGTGTCCCAGAACCTCATAGACATGCTGCCGGAGGGCTTAGGTCAGTGTTCAGGACCCGACTACGAACTGCAGTGCTTGTGTTTTTGTTTATGTGTGCTTCTGTTTAGTTGTTGTCCTTAATGATGGATGGAGTTTGATTTTTCATTTAGAAAAAGCAGAGCGTATATTAATGGAGCAGTTGTACTTGTGGTTAACCTACTGATCCACTGTTGTTGTTGTTGTTAAAAGCGCACGATAGTGAGCTGTGATGTTTGATTTTGTTTGTATGCAGTAATTATACTGTAATATATGTTTTCCCTTAGGAAAATTAAGACGGCTTTCAATATTGAAAGCAGATCAAAACCGATTAGTTCACCTGCCGGAGAGCATTGGCAACTGTGAAAGCCTGACAGAACTAGTGCTGACAGAAAACCAGCTGGTGGTAAGTTAAAGCACTTGAGCCTACTAACTGTCTACATGCGTTCAATTAGCAAGAGGGAAAACAAAAAAGCAGGCAAATTAATTTATCAAGTATTACTCTTATAATAATTCATTTTAGTTTAGTTTTAATTTACATTTATTTTATAGGTACTTTGCTATTTATTTATATGTATTTAATTGAATCACTTTTCTGGAGTGGAATTCCATTTTTTTTTTTTACTTGACTTCATGCCATGCTGTTGGAAGTTTCCACATTTTTTAATTTAATTTAATTTAATTTAATTTAATTTAATTTAATTTAATTTAATTTAATTTTGTTTCATTTAATTTATTCATTCATTCATTCATTCATTCATTCATTCATTCATTCACTCACTCATTCATTCATTCAGTCATTCATTAATGGGTAAAATTCATTCATTCATTCATTCATTCATTCATTCACTCACTCATTCATTCATTCAGTCATTCATTAATGGGTAAAATCACGCAGTACAAAATGTGGGTCACAGCTAAACCTTTTGGTCATTAAAATTAGTTAATTCTTTTTTTGAACTACAACTAAATTGAATATCAGTTCAACACATACTTTTTAAATTAAAATATTTTTAAGAAATATGTATGAAAAATATATTTTTTAAATCATGACATGACACTTTAATTGCTGACAACAATATCAATAATTAGAAGAATAATGTGGGGCTGACTAAAGTAATTATTTTTAATGGTGGGCAGGCCTTTGAAATGCAGAGTTTAGTTTCAGCCCTGCTCTAACACCTGCTCTCGTTTTGTGAACCCCAGAAGCGTGGTTATTTATGCGTTTGATTAGGGTTGGATCTCAACTCTGCAGAAAAGAAAGATTGATCTCCAGGGGCAGGATTGAGCTCCTCTGACCATAAGCCTGAGGGGGCAAAATCCATTATGCAATGATGCCCTTAAAAAAAAAACCTTGGCTTACTAATTAGAGTTGTCATGTAGTCTTATCATTGGTCATATGCATTTTTATTTTAAAGTAGATATTAGTGTAAGTGTTTTTCCATTTCTTTTTCCCTCAGAGTTTGCCAAGAAGTATTGGAAAACTAAAGAAACTGTCCAACTTCAACTGTGATAGGAATCGACTAATGTCTTTACCAAAAGAGGTATGCCAACCTAGTCATTGGGCCTTATTCAAGAAACAAGGGGTGGGGGGGGTCAAAATACATTTGACAGTCATTAATACTGACGCAGAGGGAAAATGTGTAATGGACAGCTAGCTGATACAAACGGGGTAAATAATGTTTTAAAATCAATGTTTTGATTAAAAGATAGTTACGTTAACATTAAGCGTCAGCGAAACCCTAAGAATTCACAACACTTTTTACAATAGTGCTCTCATTATAACGTTATGTATATGATAGTAGTTATTTATGTTCTCCATGTCTGTTTTGAGCTGCGCGCGCTGAAGATGACCAGTAGAATGAAGCATTTGATTGCAGGTTTTTAATCAATGAACGTGTCTGTGCGGCTCTGAATGAACTTCTTTTGTGGACGCGTTCTTATTATAATAGTGTTCTCATTATAATGTTATGTATATGACAGTCCCAGTCATAGTTATTAATATTCTGCATTGTTGTTTGTCCTGCTCTCGCTGCGTGCTGAAGAGATAATCACCGTAGTAGCCTACTACGATGAAGCGCTTTACTGCAGCGCAACTCAACCAAATGCATCTTATACGAGATAAATAATATGTACACGATATATATAACCCTGCTGAAATGTTTTGAAATCACTTGTACCCTACCTGATCGAAAAAAATCCAGTCTTTCACTCTGCCTGTGTCAATTTGAGTCTTGTTAAAGTTTTAAATCCCTGCCGCCAAGATGCTTCTCTCTCGGTCACGGATTATGGAAAGTGAAACTGAAATCTATAGTGGTGGTTGGATTTATTCACGCACGTTAAAATGTTTATTTAAAGCTTCTTTATTTTCAGATTCTAATTTAAAACATTATCTTATAGGCTGTATATTAACTTATTGGGAGAAAACCGGTAGTTCTATGTGAAATCGACATTTGAGCACCCCCATTTGCCAAAATGGCATGATCATAACACCCACGAATATTCGACTGTGAGATTGGTAGTCGAATCAGGCTCCTCCTATCGAAGCATCGGATCGTCGACTATTCGGGGTCACCCCTAGCTATTTCCAATCATTTTCCCCCATAAACTACACACCTAATGTAAATCTTTTATTTACTCTTCATGTTATTGTGCTAGTGTTAAAATGTACAACCTGTACATTTTATTCCACCCAAAGTCACTTGAATACACATCAAATTGTAGTTATGAATTGCTAGTTGAAATAATCTTTTAAAACATCTCGCTTACACTTCACTCCACGGGTGACAACGTGTGTTTACTGTACATATGCAATAAATACAGTGGCGCCTATGGAAAATTCTCGGTGATGCATTTGGAACTAGTTTTTCTTGCTGTTGCTAGTTTACCCATACACTATATATTTAGACTTCACGTTGCATATGAGTCCACAAAGTTCACAAACATAATCAAGAATGGAAGTTATTATTATGTTTTATTGCATATGTGTTGGTAATTACTTGTATAATGAAACATTGAGTGGGAAAAAGAGTCTTTTCTATTAGCTCAAGGTCATCCTGCAGGTATTTTTGAACTGAAATGCTAAACTACTCCTACGTTCGGTTAAAAAGTTAGTATCCTTCTTTTTAATGGCTACCTTCACTGAAGGACATTTGAGTTGTTTATGACTAGAACAAGTCCTTGAATATCATGTCATGCTTTTTCCAGAATAATCTTATCCTGATTTTTTTTAAGTGTTTGAGCAAGACTCTTTTTGTTACTGTTGTACATGCAATACAAAAACCTTTATGGTTAGACCATTATGATGTTATAATACAACTACTGCATGTCAGATACAGTATCTAGTGCTGCCAAAGCTCCTTTATGTCGAGAAAATAGTATCCAGCACCTGTTTGAAATGTATTCTGATAGTCTGTGATGTCACAGTGCTGAAGTTATTGCTACCACAGTTTTATGGTGGTCTAGTATTAATACTGTTGTTTAAACTATATTCGCATGGCCATGGATATACAGTACTTAGCATAAATGAGTACACACCCTCTGAAACTTAACAAATTTAGCTGTTACTTCTTTACTTAGAATACATATTAAGGTTCTTCTGAGACATAATTTTCCACCAAGTCTGCTTGATCAATTATCAAAGATTTTGTTAAGAATATGTTTAATGCATTTCATTTTTCCCATCTTTCCATGAAGTGTATTAGTGGGAAGAGGGTGTGTGTATTTATGTTGAGTACTGTAGATTTATTTTTATTTTTTTGCTCCGAGTTAGATGAAAAATAGTTTATATATTAAATTAAGTTGCAGGTATGTTGGATATTGACTTCACTGGCTGTACAAACATCACTTGCAAAATTACAATGTTAATATGTTATTCCTACGTATCAAATACAATCAATTGATTTTGGAATCATGTGCAGTTTGAACAGCCTTAATCTCGCAGCCCTTAGCATTTATAGTCCAGTGTCTTTAAGATTAAAAATCTCCATGATCACAGCACTTTGCCAAAATATGATGTTCACATTCAGAGCATTAAAATAGTAAGACTTTGCCTCCTTTGTTAAAACTCTCTCAAAACCTTTTGTTTTGCCTCTTGCTTGCAGCAATAGCTCAAGCTTGCGTTGGCTCGAGTAAATAGATCAAAAGCACTCATGACAGACAGGCTCACACAAGAGGGATGTGTGACTGTGTCTGTCATGAGTGCTTTGGTTTACATGCTGACTCATGCGATAGTGGCCCTGCTGCTGCTGCTGTAATTGGTCTAATGAAAGGTAATCCTTACACTTCCTAACAAGCAAATCCAGTTTCAGGGCCGGATTCAATGAAACCGCACCTTAGGTCAGTCAGTGTTATTAGCATACTAGCCTGGGGCAACCTGCCATCACCCATCACGTGACACTGCCTTGCCTACCCATACAATCTGTAGTGCTGTGTGTTTTTGTGGTATGACTACAGTACTCAGGATGGGGTCGCCCATGGCACGCACGCCCGGACAAACACACAGCCCGTTGTGTTACTGTTCTGTATCTTGTGTCATCTTCAACGGCCCTCAAGTGGCTTATGCTCTTGAGAAACCCTCATCTCTTATTCTTGAAGGTTTTTTCTTTCCCCTTTCTGTTCCATACTTCCACGAGGGGTGAAGACAGGCACTGGTGACAGCTGACAGGATTTGAGGAATGTTATTGTGTTGTTTAAACAGTGGCTTTGCATGAATGAGGCAGCTTGTTCTCTGAGACTGTTGCTCAGCTGTGACCTCTCTGACCTCACTCAATCAGGACACAACACAGGAAAATGCCACAAAATGTCATTTTCTCATATTCTTTTATTTCATGTTCAAGCTATGTCAGAGTGTAGGGTAATGACAAACTGAGCAAAATAATCGTGATTATCAGTTATAATCACAATTATTAATCACTGTTGTTCTCATTTGAGAAATTAATTTTATTTAATCAAAATGATTGCGCTTCCATGTAAGCACAAATCAAGAGAACATCAACTCATTACCTCATTTAGATTCCTGATTTATTATATTTATCATATAAATGAACACACTTTCTGCAGCCTAAAACTGGTAAAACCCAAGCGGCAACCTTCCGGTCTCTCTCGTGAAACCAGCACAGAAGTGACTAAAACTGCAATTCATCGACTGGCCGCTAGAGGCTGGCTCCAAAAGGGAGTCAGTACCATAGTCTTCAGAAACCTACGGGTGACGTCACGGACACTACGTCCATGTTTTTATACAGTCTATGGTAAAACCCTGAGAAACTTCTCTGAGCCGACTGGGCAGCGCTCTGACATATAGTGCAGATGCACTTCAGGCGACCTGAATTCGAGTACCAGGTTTCCCGATCCCGCCCCCCTCTCTCTGTCCCAGTCCGCTTCCTGTCTGCTCTCCGCTGTACTAGATGTTAAAACAGTGAAGTTTTCTAATATTAATTCCAATAATTCCACATGATGGTAACATGTTTCTATTGAAACAATAAAACAGACTACAGCTGCCACATACAATATAGCCATGCTTCATTGTTTGGATTTATCATAGTTCGTCACCTGAGAAGGTTTCCTCACAGATTTAGTTGCAGCAAATAGCACATTGGCCTCATGAAGGAGAACAAACTGGCTGTATTACACTTTTATTTGAGCAGAATATCATAATCAGATATGTTTTTGCTGGTCTTCAGTTCATCAGCTTGTGTGCATGGTTGCCAGGTTGGGAAAATTAAGTAAAACACTGGGAAGAAAATATATTCTTTTAAACCCTTGACATCTGGCAACCCTGAGCATGAAGCATCAAGGAGGCTTGTAACCAGTGCAAGAAAACAGAAATGCCAAATAATAATAATAATAAATCAGGATAAATAACCAACTGGCCAATATTGCAGATGATTATGCTTAATCAAGAGAAGCAGAAAAGATTAAAATATGATTTATCGTGCACCCTTATTTTTAACAATAAAAAAAAAAAAAAATTGTTATTACTCCAAACTTCCAACCTTGAGTAAAAGATTTTTTCCAGCTATTGAAAAATTACAAATTTTAAGTATTATTGACCAAGTCTTAACACACAGATGAAAGTAAAAAAAAAAAAAAATTAAATCAGTCAGAAAGCGAATGTTCATGTTTGGTGTCAGTGTTAATTTTGACAGACATTTTTGATTTAGTCTTAGACTTTATCTTGAGACGAAAACGCTTAATAGTCTTTGTCACATTTTAGTCATTTGAGTCTTTCATAGTTTTAGTCTAGTTTTAGTCGACGAAAAGTCATTGCATTTTTGTCAACTTCTATTCAAACTGTAGTTACCAACATTTATTTTGGTAGCTATTTTATATGTAGTCTTCAAACAAAAATAATCATAACTTCTTCTCTCTTTAGACCAAATCAATTACGCTTATGAGAAATTTGAATCAAGGATTGAATTTGGAAAAACTTGAATAAATTATGACAATTTTCATTTTTGGGTGAACGATCCCTTTAACAGTAGTAAAAATGGAGCAACTTATAAAAATAGTTATGTTGTTATACTGTGTGTGTGTATACATATATATATATATATATATATATATATATATATATATATATATATGTGTGTGTATATAT